TACAGGTAGTCCTCGACTTACGGCCACAACTGAGCCCAAAACGTCTGTAGCCGAGCAAGACTGAGTTTTGCCCCATTTTATGACATTTCTTGCCACATCTGTTAAGTGAATCACTGCAGTTGTTCAGTTAGTATCTTCCAAATGCAAAACGCAAGCAGAAGAGCTTCAGTTTCACAGCACCAAGCAGCTTTAGTACAGAACAGTTGAGCTAAGCCACGCCCAGGCTCCTTGCTGTCTCCTTCTGGCTCACACAGAAAATACTCTTTCGGTTTCCAAACAGCCCTCAACTCTCTCGCACACTGACAAGACGCTAGCCAGATGAATACCGACAGATGCTGGTAGGCAGAGGCAGAATTTCTCCCTCCACCCTTATTTTCCTCCCCCAAAACTAAGCCTGATCACATAGTTCCGTAGCGAAGCGCAGGTATCCAGCTAGTATTTTATTTACTTTTAATTTTAATTTTTGTCAGATGATGGACACGCGTTTATCTTAAGTGTGTTTAAAACTCAGTGCCTGATGAAGCTTGGCTTGTTCGTATGAGCTGTTTATTGTCGTTCAATGATACCCCTTGAGATGTACTTTAAACAGCCTTATCCAAATGGTTGTCACTATTGTTATTTGCAAGATTATCTTCTTTCTGTCCCGTAGGATCGAGATTGGCAGCCGCTAAATCCAGGTGATCCCATATTTTTGACTCTGGAAGGAAAGGCCATCGCGTACGACGGAGAGGCGACGGTATACCCAACCTTTGTGAACGAGGCCGCCTACTACGAAAAGCAACAAGCCTTCGTAACGACGGCAAAAGAAAAATTGAGTGCAAAAGGGCTCCAAGTCTCTTTAAACTTCCTCTAAAGTGCCTGCAAATATTTCTCCTAGACCAAAAATTCAATTTATTGTTGTAAGCAGTGGTGCAATTCAACCAGTTGTAACAACCGGTTTGGTGAGCGCACGCTTCGTGTGGGTGCAGCATTTTAAAAAGCCAATTTTCATCTCTAATACTTACCTTCTACTGCCGCGCGAATCAGCTATGCTCTAAAACAGGGGTCCTCATACTTGGCAACTTTAAGACTTGTGGACTTCAACTCCCAGAATTCCTTAACCAGCTGACTGTGGAATTCTGGGAGTTGAAGTCCACAAGTCTTAACAGTTGCCAAGTTTGGAGACCTCTGCTCTAAAAAAATGAAATAAAGCACAGAAATGCTCACTGGAACTACCGGTTCCCCTCAACTGGTCCGAATTGGCAGAATCCCACCCCAGGTTGTAAGAAGTAGAAAGCACTTACTCAGAAAACAATTATAATTTTTTATGCACTTTACAGTTGCTGTTTTTAATGATACTTTTAAATGGTTTTAAATGGTTTTTGAGGCTGCTGATAATTCTCGACTTACGGCAACAATTGAGCCCAAATCTGCTGAGCCACACAGAGTTGTTAATATGAGTTTTGTCCCGTTTTACGACTTTTCTTGTTAAGTGAATCGCTGCAGTTAAGTTAGCAACACCGTTGTTAAGTGAATCTCCATTCCCCATTGGCTTTCCTTGTCAGAAGGTCGCAAAAGCGGGCGCTGCAACAGTCATAAATACATACATTCATTTTGTGACTGTTCAAACTCACAACGGCACTGAAAAAAAGTGACTTTTTTCACACTTCCCACCGTTGCAGCAACTTCGGACGTTTGGCAACTGTTTCATATTTATGACGGCCGTAGGGTCCCCGGGATCTTGCAACCACCCGACCAGCAAAGTCAACGGGGAAGCCAGATTCACTTAACAGCCGTGTTAATGATGGAACTACTGCCACAATTCATTTAACAACCGTGGCAAGACAAGTCGTAAAATGGTGCAAAACTCACTTAACAACTGTCTCAAAATTGGGGGCTCAATTGTAGTCGTAAGTCAAGGAATACCTGTAGTTCAAAATTTATGTGTGAGAAGAAAAATTGCTGGAAGAAAACAAGGAAGAACTGGGATAAAGAAATGTTATAAATGTTTTGAACCTGGATATATAAATGTGAATGGAATAGAATAGAATAACAGAGTTGGAAGGGACCGTAGAGGTCTTCTAGTCCACCCCCTTGCTTAGGCTAGAAACCCTACACCACGTTATTCATCAAATATTTCTGATAAAGAAATGTTATAAAACTGACATTTTAAGCCACTCTAGTTTCAGTCAGAGCACTGAATCTAGAAGATACTTTAGATCGGAAAAACCAGACACGGGAAATCCTTGACTTATGACCAGCTGCTTAGCAACCCTTTAAGCTTATGATGGACTCCTCCCCTGCATAGTCACATGACCTCATTTTGGGCCACCAGCCCCCCTTTAATAGTTATGTGCAGCATCCCACATGACTGCATTTTACAATGTTTTGGGTTTTTTTTTGCCAAAAACTGAGGTAAACTTCCAGTTTTCAGTCAAACTGGCTGATAATGAACCATCGATTTGTTTTAACAACCGTTGCAAAAAAAAATTCATCAAATTGGATGGACGACCCGTTTTATGTCCATCCCAAAATCCAATGGGCAAGCTTCATTATGGTCATAAGTTGAGGACTTTCTGTAAGAGTGAAAATTTCTCCTCAGAGTTCTTGCCTTGGCTGTCATAGAATTGCACACTTAGGGAGATAGTCGTGCTTATAAAACAATTGACTTTATTTCTCTTATTTGCAATAAATTATATATGTATACATGTTTTGAAACACAATCCCGGGTCTGATAAATCCCTGGATAAAATCATCAGGTTTGGAAAAATGACGAATGCCACATGTGGGTCTCTCTCGCTTTTCCGCAAGGAGATTTTTGCCCAGTTGCACATCTGGCTGTAAAGTGCAGATCAAAAAGCAGCGATTGGCTCTCTGGCAACGCTCACAAAACTTCACTTACAAAACAAACAAGAAATACTTGAATAAATACTGCACATACTTGGAATTCAAGAATATCTTTTGCAGATGCATACATCTCTTTATTTCTCTCTTTTTCTTTTTTTCCTCTTTTTCTCTTTTCTTTTACTCTTTATCTCTTTTTCTCTCTCTCTTCTCTGCTTTTCTTTCTTTCTCTCTCACACACAGTGTACACTTTCTTTTCTTTTTCTTTTTCTCTCTTTTTTTCTTTCTCTCTCTCTCACACACACAAAGGTACACTTTTCTTTTTCTTTCTTTCTTTTTATCTTTTTTTCTTTCTCTCTCTCACACACACACAAAGGTACACTTTCTTTTCTTTTTCTTTCTTTCTTTCTATCTCTTTTTTCTTTCTCTCCCTCACACACAAAGGTACACTGTCTTTTTTTTTCTTTCTCTCTTTCTTTTCTCTCTTTTTTTCTTTGTCTCTCTCACACACAAAGGTACAATTTCTTTTCTTTTTCTTTCTCTCTTTCTTTCTCTCTCTCTTTTTCTTTCTCTCTCTCACACATACACAGTATACACTTTCTTTTTCTTTTTTTCCTCTTTCTCCTTTCTCTTTTTCTCGCTCCTCCCCCCCCTCACACACACAGACACACACAAAGTGTACAAAAAATGCCCCCAAATGTCACCTCCCCAAATTTACCGTGTAAAAAAGTGATCTTTCTTTTCAAGGTGAATACACAAACTCCTGGAACACACTTATCCAGGAAGTGTCCTTAGGAATCCGGGTGCTGCAAAACCTTTTGCCAACTCCACCCTCCAGGTGTTTCCCCCCCCCCCCCCCCCCGAAGGCTTCTTCTTTCCATCTGCGCACAAACCAGGATCGATCTTGGTTCGTTTCCAAGATTAGCCAAACTTGGCTTGAAGTCACCTCCGGGCAGAGTACTGTAACCATAGACGCAGGAGAGAGAGAGAGAGAGCCTTGGGGCTCATCCTGACCTCCCCTTTTGCTATACTCTCTAGCCTGCCAAAGAGCAAAGAGGAGGGCTGGTCCCAATCCACCAGGAAGCATCACCCCCCCCCCCCCAAGGTGCGCAGTGGCGGCTGATTTTGTACTGTGGTTTCTCTTGAAAACTGAAATGTTTTTCCTTCCCTTGTCCGCCAAGGAAAGAAGTCAACGTCTTCACACCAAGTTGAGACAATCTAGGTTAGGAGCCTTATTCTCCCTGTTTGCAACTCTGGGTCGACACTCTTGCGATAGAATGGGGTTAAACCGCCCCCCCCCCTTCCATCTGAATGCTAGTCTGGCTGAGCTCGGGAACCCGGGGTGCATCCTGCCCCTTTGAAGGCTTCACACAGTCTAAAATTTCCCCCTGCAGGGCACAGCTTAAACCGTAGTTTCTGGCAAATCGTAAATTTCTTCATAGGCGTTCAGAGTGGTTTTGCTGTTATTCCTGGAGGTGTCTTGCATTCTGCTGCACTCTGAAAGGAAAAGAGGAAAAAGCAGGCCCACTCTGTTTACTCTTGGAATAAAGGATGGAATTGGACTAGGCTTCTGAGGAGGGCAGGTAGCAAGAGTCCTTCTCTACCTCAGGGGCTTTAGGGGGCGTGGACTACAACTCCCAGAATTCCCTAGCCGCCCATGTATTCCTCACGTAAATTTGGATAGATAGATGAGAGACAGAGAGAGAGAGAAAGAGAGACAGAGAGAAATGATATAGATAGAAATAAATAGATAGATAAATAATAAATAAATTAGAGAGAGAGATAGATAAATAGACAAATGATATAGATAGATGACAGACAGACAGATATAAAGATTGACATGCAGAAAGACATAGAAAAGGGGAAGGAGAGATAAGAGAGATAATTAGATAGATACGATAGATAGATAGACAGACAGACAGACAGATAGATGATAGATAGATGATAGAGAGATAGATAGATAGATAGATAGATAGATAGATAGATAGAAAGAGATTGACATATAGAAAGACAGAAAAGGGGAAGGAGAGATAAGAGAGAATGATACATGAATAGATAGAGTCGGTAGATGAAAGAAAGAAAGAAAGAAAGAAAGAAAGAAAGAAAGAAAGAAAGAAATTGACATATACAAAGACATAGAGAAGGGGAAGCAAAGATAAGAGAGAGAGAGATCTGATAGATACATAATTTAGATAGATAGATAGATAGATAGATAGATAGATAGATAGATAGATAGATAGATAGATAGAGATTGACATATAGAAAGACACAGAGAAGAAGGAGAGATGAGAGAGAGATGATAGAAACATAGAGATAGAGAGAGGGGGGGAGAGAGAGAGAGAGATACGTTAGATATGGTAGATAGAGAGATGGAGATAAAAGTTGTCCACCCGTAGGTATTTCTATTACCTGGAATCGATTATTAAATTGTAACCGACATATGGACCTCTATTATCAGCAAATGTTTTTAGGGTAGTGGTGTTCAGTTACCTGTTGTTCCTGGATCCTCATTGATAAAGGCCACGTGGGTTTTCCACTCCGTCCATTTGACTTCGTTGATTCTAGATACAGAGCATATAAATTAATTTTAAACAATGGAGAAAGCAAAAGAGGCAATCAAAAAGCTAACAAGAAGCAAAAAGACCAAAACACCTTCTTGCCAGCAATCCATACCCAGAGATTAATGCCGCGATTAATACTAACTAGAGTAACAATGAAGAAGTAAACAATACTCCAATCAAGGAACTGCCAATCCAGATAAACAATTAAACAACAGCCCATTCAAGGAAGATACCAAGAACACTCCTACGAACACTGACAGGGCAAGCTATGATAAATAAACAGAGAGAAAACCCCTCTCCCTTCTAGCACTGATGATGTTGCTTAGTTGGGTCATGAAACGTCTGGAAGAAAACAACCAAGCTCAGAAAGCACCAAGGACCCTACAGTCCTCCTCCTCCTCTTCCTCCTCCTCTTCCTCCTCCTCCTCCTTCTCTTCCTCCTCCTGTTCCCCTTCCACAAACCCTACTCCCTTCTAGCACTGATGATGTTACCTAGTTGGGTCATGAAACGTCTGTGAGAAAACCACCAAGTTCAGAGTGCACCAAGGACCCCACCGTCCTCCTCCTCCTCCTCTCCTCCCCTCTCCTTTCTAGCACTGATGATGTTACCTAGTTTGGTCATGAAAAGTCTGCAAGTAAACAACCAAGAGAGCACCAAGGACCCACAATCCTCCTCCTCCTCCTGTTCTTCCTGCGCAAACCCCACTCCCTTCTAGCTCTGATGATGTTGCCTGGCTGGGTAATGAAATATCTGCAAAAATACAACAAAACTCAGAGAACATCAAGGACCCCACAGTTCTCCTTCTCCTCCTCCTCTTCCTCCTCCTCCTTCCTCCTCCTCCTGTTCCTCTTCCAAAAACCCTACTCCCTACTAGCACTGATAATGTCACCTAGTTGGGTCATGAAACGTCTACAAGAAAACCACCAAGCTCAGAGAACACCAAGGACCCTAAAGTCCAACTCTTAGCTACAATTATTCTCTTCTACAAGTAATTCATCCTTACATCTCACCCTCATTATTACAGAAACACTTTCTGTACCTCGGTATTCATCAATTCATCTGCAATTCCATTTTCCCCTCTTCGTCCCCGCAGAGCAAAATCCCTCCCGTCTGCCCCATCGCTCACCTTAAACACAACCGGGTGTCGTTGTCGGCCACTTTGCACCATTCCCCGAGTTCAAATTTCCTCCTCAGGAACTTGGGCAGGAGTTTTTCGATCTCCACAATCGTCCTGGCTCTCTGGAGGAAAGAGGGATAACCAAGAAGGTGTGGGAAACGAAAATATAGCCTTATTGGAATCCATCATCTTAAAGTAAGAATTATTGTTTGTGCTGCTGTACTTTGTTTCTTTATTGGAATTTTCTTATGACAAAGGAGAGGTTCAAAAGAGATCCCTGAATGTTTTTTTTCCATCCGCTGGTGAAGGGAGGCGACGAAAAAAAATAGAATCTGCTCTGAATTCAAGTCGCCCCCAAAGGTTCAATTGCAACAGGCAACTGGAGTTTTCTGTTTCGTGTTATGGCTCGCCGGCAGCCGGTGCAGCCGGCAGCAGAATCGGACAATGAGGACGAAAGGGAACCAGTCAGGGAGTCTGGGAAGGACTCCGATGTGGGTCCTGCATCCGATGCAGGGATGGGGCCAGGACCATCTGGGAGCGGGGCGCTGCTTTCAGAGCCTTTGGAGCCTGGCGGCAGCGAGGCAAAGGAACAGAGGGAGCCTGTTCCCAGTGCGCGTATGCGCAGAGCTGCTAGAAGGCGAGAGCAGCTGAAGCAGAAAGGGCAACTCGGGAATAAGGCTGGGAGGTGATTGCCCTTCCCATCAGGGATAAAAGTCAGACCTCAATGACGAAGAGCTTTGCAGGAAGCAAAGCAGTTCAATTAGATTCCGAGTCCTTCTTAAAGCCCTGTCCTCGGGTCGTGTTTTTTTTTTTCTGATACTTTGGGTGGGTTCTGTTATAATTACTTTGGAGACTTCTGTTTTTGGCAGCACTGACAAGTGTGGGCTTATCTTGGGGAACTGTTTTAAGATTAGTTCTGGCTGGAAAAGGAAAGTAACCCGCAGCGTTGCATTAAAATAGGTTTTACTTTTCAAACAAGCCTGCGTTTCAGTACGTTTGACGAAGCCTGGGTCAGAACAGGCTGAATGGTGGAGAATGGAAGGATTTATATTCCTTGCAGTCATCTGGTCGTTAGCACTCTCTCTGAGAGCCATTGAGGCCACTGGGAGATTTCCTGGTGCCCCCAGGGAACCCTGAATACAGGTAGTCCTCGACTTACGACCACAATGCAGCCCAAATGGTCTGTCGTTAAGTGAGACATTTGTTGAGCCAGCTTTGCCCCATTTTTGTGAACTTTCTGGCCACAGGGGTTCGGTGAATCACCTCAGCTGATAAGTTAGTAACATGGTCGTTAAGTGAATCTAGTTTCTCCATTGATTTTGCTTGTCCAAAGGTCGAAAAAGAGGATCCCAGCAATGGTCATAAATATGAGTCAATTGGCAAGCATCTGAATTTAGAACACATGATCATGGGAATGCTACAAAGGCCCTTCTTCATGTACTGAGAGCATATGCACCAAGACAAATTCCTTGTGTGCCCAATCACCCTTGGCTAATAAAGAATTCCGTTCTGTTCCGTTCCTTCCCTTCCCTTCCATCTATTTTATTCTATTCTATTCTAATTCTATTCTATTCTAATTTGTATTCTATTCTACTCTCTATCCTGTTTCATCCCATTCTATTTAAACTCTATTCCTATATCCTTCTATTCTATTCTATTCTATTCTATTCTATTCTATTCTATTCTATTCTATTCTTTATCCTGTTCCATCCCATTCTATTTAAATTCTCTTCCTATATCATTCTATTCTATTCTATTCTATTCTATTCTATTCTATTCTATTCTATTCTATTCTATTCTATTCTATTCTATTCTATTCTCTATCTCGTTCCATCCCATTCTATTTAAACTCTATTCCTATATCATTCTATTCTATTCTATTCTATTCTATTCTATTCTATTCTATTCTATTCTATTCTATTCTCTATCCTGTTCCATCCCATTCTATTTAAATTCTATTCCTATATCCTTCTATAAAGTTCTGTTCTGTTCCATTCCATTCCGTCCCTTCCCTTCCCTTCTATTCTATCCTAATTCTAGTCTATTCTAATTTGTATTCTATTCTACTCTCTATCCCGTTCCATCCCATTCTATTTAAATTCTATTCCTATATCCTTCTATTCTATTCTATTCTATTCTATTCTATTCTATTCTATTCTATTCTATTCTGTTCTGTTCTGTTCTGTTCTGTTCTGTTCTGTTCTGTTCTATTCTATTCTATTCTGCCTTATGACTATCATTAAGTGTTGTACGTGATGATTCTTGACTCTTGACGAATGTCTCTTTTCTTTTTATGTACACTAAGAGCATTTGCACCAAGACAAATTCCTTTCCAATCATACTCGGCCAATAAAGAATCCAATTCAACTGAACTGAACTCCATTCCACTACACTCCATTCTATTCTTTGGAAAAATGTCCCAAATAATTTTTCCCCAGTGTCATTGCAACTTTGAATGTTCAATAAATCATTAAATGAACTGTTGTAAGTGAAGGACTAGCTGTAGTACAAATGGGTGTGGAAACTTCTTGGGGCTGCTGAAAGAACGGTGTTGTAAACAGGAGATAGATAAGAAAGAGGGGTCAACGAGGCCATCCACATTGAGATTCCACTATTTGAGGGGCTGCCCCAGAGAGGAGGAAGGAGTCAAGCTATTCTCCAAAGCACCAGAAGGCAGGACAAGAAACCATGGATGGAAACTGATCAAGGAGAGAAGCAACTTAGAATGAAGGAGAAACTTCCTGACAGTGAGGACAATTAACCAGTGGAACCGCTTGCCACCAGAGGTTGTGGGCACTACATCACTGCAGGTGTCTAAGAGATTGGACGGCTGCAATACTGGAGCTGTCCAATCTTAAGAAGACACTGGACAGCTGCTTGTCTGGAATGGTCTAGGGTAGAGGTCTCATTCTCGCGGCCCGCGGGCCAATTGCGGCCTGCAGGCCGATACCCTGTGGCCCCCATCATGATATGAAAGTATAATATTAATGCGGCCCGCAGGGGGAACGGACCTCTGAAGGAAGTCCCGCCCACCGTTCCTCGTCGTGGTTGACATTCGGTGCTAGGCTAAGCTACACCGACTTCAGGCACACTACACTTGTAACAACAGTGTGGCGGATGACGAACAGTCCGGTAGCAGTCGCCATTTTTTTGCGGTCGCCATTCCGGTACTTTCTACCATCAACGAATGCCACGATCCAATGCAGAGAAAGGCGACTGCTGCCGGGCTGTTTGTCATCCGCCGCGCTGTTGTGACAAGTAGAAGCGGAAATGACGTCACACGTCGAGACGTTCTCCATGCGTTGCTTCATACATTTTTTGTGGAATCCCTTATGCGGCCCAACCTCACCCAGACTCTCTGCCTTCAGCGGCCCCCAGGTAAACTGTGTTTGAGACCCCTGGTCTAGGGTTTCTTGATTGAGCAGGGGGTTGGACTAGAAGACCTCCAAGGTTCCTTCCAGCTCTATTCCGATTGATTGAAAATTGAACATCCCTCTCGCAATGAGGAAGGGTGTGTGGGATACGACACCCTCTACCTCCTGTTTACAACCCCGTCCTTTCAGCAGTTCCAAGAAGGCTGCACACCCATTTGCACTACTCGGGTGACCCCGAGAATACAGATAAACCCCCAAGTGGCCTCAACGACTCTCCATAAAGGATACAAATGACCAGGATGTCTGCAAGGAGTAGAAATCCTGCCGTCTTCCACCATTCGGTCAGAACTGAAGAAGCTCCTTGGATGAGAAGCAAAATGTCTTCAAAGAACAATCAGCCTCTTGGAAAAAATAGCAACCCTGGGAACACTTTGGGAGAACCCTGACCTGGAGGATGTCAGGGTTCCAGCAGTTACTCCAATTAAATCATGAGCCTCGAGCCACACTCCCAAAACTAAAAAGGATTTATTAGAAGCTAACAGTCTACGTCTGTCACTAACCTGGGCGTAGCCAACTCTGAGATACGTAATTCACTGTCAACCTTGATCCTGCTCCCCCCACCCCCACCCCTCTGGGTGTATCATCCAACGAAAAACGTCCATAGCCAAGAGTCATCAATCATGCTCTCCAATTAGATTTTTGAGCGACAGAGGCTTCAAGTCATCTAATCAGTCTTCGAAGAAAATATGAATGGAATGTACTTTCGATTCCACACTGCCGCCCGCTCTTTGAAACTCCGCCCTCCTCTTTCTGTTGTCAACTATAAAACGTGTATAAAAATGTTTTATGAGTTGACAGATGACTTGGGGATCTCCCTAGACACCTGGATTCAATCCCGTTTCCCTCAAAGGAACACACTCCATCCCCGGGGGGCCCAACCTGCAGCCTCCAGATGTGCTCGCTCTCTTTGGAGATGTCTTCCACCGTTTCTCCCATCAAGGCGATGAGCATGTTGAGGAGCAAGACGAAGGTCAGGATCACGAAGGAGATGAGGAGGAGGAGGAACAGGATGGGGTACTTGGCGTTTTTCGGGACGTCCAGCTCGCCGAGGCCCAAGGTCAGCATGAATAAGTCGACCTCGATGCTTCCCAAGACGCTGTACTCATTGCATTTGCTGTCTTCAGGGCAAGAGTCCACCAAGGCCGCAAGAGCTTTGGAGAACGGGAAGGAGGAGAGGATTAGAGACTTTAAAAAACCCAAAACTTTGAGGTTACAACATCTTCCTGAAGATTCAACGCTCCCCCAAAGGGGTTATTAGAGTCCGAAATGGGGTGTCCGCAGGAAGGAGTCAAAAACATGAATTGTGCAATTTGGGCAGAGGTGGGATTCTAACCGGTTCAGACCGGTTCGGGCGAACTGGATGTTAAAATTACAGCTGGTGTGTGTTCTGACCCAAAACTTCTTCCAAAGAAACAAACATCAAACAGAGGTAACTTTTAATGATTCTTTACTAATTCCGTTCCTTCCCGGTTAAAAGGCTGTTTCAAACTCATTGTCTCTGATAACAACGAGCCTTGCTAAGGTTGTGCAAGGCTGCCAAAACACTAGGTAAAGTTGCCAAGAAATATTTCAAACACAAAGAGTCTCCAAACACAAACTAAGATAGTCCGAACGCCCACCGGGCTTGAGTGCAAAACCTTCTTTGCTTCCTGCAAAGGACTGCGGTTTCTCAGCTGGCTTTTATCCCTTAAAGGAGGGGCCGTTACCTTGCAGCCTTACTCCCGAGTCGCCCGTGCTGCTGCAAATGCTCTTTCCTTCAAGAAGCCCTCCGCGCATACACCCTGGGCACAGGCTCCTCGGGGGCCTCTTCCTCACTGCTGCCAGCCTCCACAATCTCCAAGGGAAGCACTCCACTCCCTGATGGTCCTGGCCCCATCCCTGCATCACACGCAGGCCCTTCATCCGAGTCCTCGCTCTCTGTCCGCACCTGCTGCCGGTGAACCACAACAGTGTGCCGAACCGGTATTTCAACCGACCGGCTGGCCCCGGCCACCCCTCCCCGCCCCTCCCAGTAGTCCCCACATGGCCTATTTTTGATGGAGATAGGTGCAGGTTCCCTGCAGAGGCTCCGGGAGGGGGGAAAACGGGCCTGTTTTCGCCCTCCCAGAGGCCCATCGGAAGCCGGAAACAGGAAATTCCAGTAGGCCAGGCCCACCCAGCAACCGGTTCGCTGCCCGGTGGCTGGGATTTTTGAATTCCACCCCTGAATTTGGGGGGTTTATGTTTTGAATTTTTAGAAGAGAATATTTGTAGCTCAGGGATGGAACTGTGGGGTCTGTGAGTTTGATTGTCTTCCTTGCAGACATTTCCAGACCCAACTAGGGAATATCATCAGTAGCAGAAGGGAGTGGGGTTTGTGGAAGAGGAACAGGAGGAGGAGGAGGAGGAAGAGGATTGTGGAGTCTTGGATGCTCTCTGAGCTTGGTGATTTTTCTTGCAGACGTTTCAAGACCCAACTAGGGAACATCATCAGTAGCAGAAGGGAGTGGGGTTTGCTGCCTGGTTATATGCAAGTGGTTTGCCCTGTACGTGTGGGTGGGTGTGTTCTTGATTGTTCCTCGATTAGGCTGCTATTTTCTGTTAGTTTATTTGTCTAAGACGGCAGTTCTTTGATTGGGGTTTACAATAAGCATCATTATTGTTTACTTAAAACACCAAAACTCTTGGCAGCATTTACCCTCCAGGTAAGCAGATAACCTCCTCCTCCTCCTCTCCTTCTTCTCCTCCACAAATCCTTCTCTCTTCTAGCACTGATGATGTTACCTACTTGGGTCATGAAATGTCTGCAAGAAAAGAACCAAACTCAGTGAACACCAAGGACCCCACAATTCTTCCCCTTCTCCTCCCCTCCTCCTCCCCCCAAAACCTCTCTCCCTTCTAGCACTGATGACATTGACTAGTTGGGTCATGAAACGTCTGCAAGAAAACAACCAAACTTAGAGAGCATCAAGGAACCCACAATCTGCTTCCTCCTCCTCCTCCTCCTCCTCCTCCTCCTCCTCCAACCCTTCTAGCATTGATGATGATGCCTAGTTGGGTCATGAAACGTCTGCAAGAAAACAACCAAACTTAGAGAGCATCAAGGAGCCCACAATCTGCTTCCTCCTCCTCCTCCTCTTCCTCCTCCTCCTCCTCCTCCTCCTCATAAATGCCTTCCAGCACTTATGCTGTTACTTAGTCAGGTAATGAAACATCTGTAAACACAACCACAAAGCTCAGAGAGCCCCAATGCATTTCAGTTGCATACCTGATTCCAAACAATTACAGGTATTCACAGGGAATGTGTCAAAAAGGGCCAAATGGAGACGGCAAGAGAGCAAGCCAAGCCTTGTATGTGTGATATGCACAAAAAGGGGCAGGACTTGGGTGGCAACACTGTTATGCCTTCTTTGAACACACACACACACACACACACACACACCGGATCCACCGATGCCCCCGGGAATAAAGCATCAAATTCTGTTTACCTACGCCGAATCCGAACAAAAACACCAGATAGACGGCGATAAACTTGATCACATCGTGCAAAATGACCTACAGGGCAGAAGAATAAGCATTATAATGGTGAATTTAAAGCACAGGAAAATAAATGGCGCTGCTCC